GTAAAAAAGTTTACCTTATACATATATACGAAGTAATTTTTTATATTCAACACTCGAACTCAAACCAAGATAGGTGAAGCAGGTAGCTAGGCTTGCCATGCATGACATATGACACAATGAGACACGACTCACGAGAAGCAGCCCATGTCAGTTGTTAATTAGGTCAAATTAGTACTTTTTTCTGTCCAATATAGAGTACTCCATCTGTTCATTTTATGTGAAGTAGTTTGACTCGACACGAAATTTAAGAAAGAAATGAAGATTTTTAAAACTTGTGATCCAAAATTAATGATAGAAATTTGTGTGACTGTAAATTATTTCATTAAGGGTAAAATCGATATTTTATAATTAAATTATTATTTAATATAGAAATGTGTCATTCTTTTTGGGACATATTAAAAAGAAAAATAAGTCACATAAATTAGGACAGAAGAAATAATTATTTACTATTGACTTGACATAGAGATTAAGAATAGTACATGATGAAATAATATTACCAAATGCTCTTTTCGTCTCTATTTATTTGTCAAATATTTTCTAATTTAATGTCTCTTTTTATTTGTCATTTTTGGTAAATCAAGAAAAGATAATTTATCTTTCCCTATTATACCCTCAATTTATTAACATTGAGTTAATGTCTTTGAAAAATGTACTGACTAAATATTTGAGACCTTATCAATTAATAAGTCTAAAATGGTAAATTCACTATACCAATCAAGTAAGTGTGTCGAGTCAAAATTTAACAAGTAAAAAGGGACGAAGAAAGTATATGTCATCTAAACATTGAAAAAGGAAGTATTCAAGTACTTAATAGGGTAAAATTGATACAATATGTTAAATTATTGATTAATTTTATAAATTAGACAATTATTGTTGAACAATTCAAAATAATGTAATAAATAAATAAAAATAAACAGAGGAATTATATAATATATTCTAAATTATATAAATATTGTTTACGCTATAGAACTGAAATAATAAAAGTCTGTTGAGCAGTAAACATGCATTATATTTGTCAGAGGAAAAAAAAGAAAATATATATTCACAATTCCTTTTTTTTTTTTTTTTGGTTTACTTGGTAATCCGCTCCTCAAGTTGTTAGGCTCCATAATACTTGTCATTTCATAAAATCAATGCATAAATTATCATATTGTTCCTTTTTTACCCTTGTAGTTATTAGCTTTGAAAATATACATTTGACCAACTTAGAAAAGTTAAATAAATGATTCATGTTAATTGGTTAAATTAATTCATATACATTAATTGAAAACTTGAGTTCCAAAAAAAATAAATAAGGGTAGAATGGTAAAGTTACATCATATCTTAATGCAAGTGCAAAATAAAAATGTGACATATAAAAGGAAACAGAGGGAGTATAATTATTGATCAGTGGATCTATAAATTTTGTGTATTTGAAAATTGGCAACCGTAAACATGTATTTATAAAAGGAACATCCGAACATGGAAATATGCGATTTATTAATGCGATGTCTTTGGACATTTTGATATCTTATCTATTAGCATGATTTACTCATTTGGTAAGATTGTAAAAATTGATAGTTTTCATAACTTGTGATGTTTCCATGTTTATAAAAATAATACTATATCCGTCTACTTTTAATTGTCATAGTTTCCTCTCTAGAGTCAAACGATAATAACTTTGACTAATATTTTACGATGTATTTTCCATCATATTGATATGCAAAAAATTACAATTTATAGTACTTTTCGTATAGTTTTTAAATATCTAAATTTTTTGTTTAAAATATCGAATTAATGTAATCTAATTTCACATTGTAAATTAGTCAAATTATCTTTCGAAAAACGCAATGTGACAATCAAAAAGTGGACGGAATGAGTAGAGTACAATTTATAGAAAAAACTTCTTAAATTTTGTATCAAGTTAAATTATATCGCATAAAGTAATACTGATCACAAAGGGAATAGTATCTTTGACCTTACTACTTCATAGCTTGCGCGTTAGGTTTGCTGCAAGCCTTGTAACAACCAAATTTTACATGTAAAGCGAGTCCGTGTAGACCAAAATAAAGAAAGCGTATACAAGTTTGATTCCTTTGAATTCTATTTTTTTTATATATAACTTTTTGTTCTCCATATGTTTCATTTATGTAGCACTTTTCTTATAATTTATTTTTAAAAATATTGACATTTTTTACATTTGACAGTCGGAATAAGATTTTTGGTCACGATTATTAATAAAAAAAATTGTTTTGATTTTTGTGATACACGACTCAATATATACCTCTATAATTAAAAATTGTGTGTTTCTTGGTTCCTTTATATAAAAATTAAATTATTTTTAGGAATATATTATCCTCATACATGGAGTAATTCATAAAAAAATAAAATTATTTGCACTAAAGTTATTAAATTATTTTTATAACAAAAGATCACTTAATCTTTTTAATATAAATATCACAAAAATTGCTAAACTATTAATTTTCTATTATAAAAAAATCACCCAACTTTGCTTAAGTATCACATAAAGTAATTTTTTAATTATAAAAATTAATAATTTTAATTACACTAAAATAAAATCAAATGAGTAAGGTTAGTCCACCGACTAGTCTTTTGTCTTGTCTATTTTCTCCCGTCAAAATTAAACCAACCTTTGAATTATTTTCTATTTTAATTTTTCAACCTAACATCTTTAGTCAAAAATAAAATAAAAAATCTAGTCTAAACAAACCTTCTTAGCACCCCTTTTTTGCCCCATTCCTGTTCAACACTTCACAATTTTTCTTAGTCAATATTCAATTTAGCTCACACGTTCATGAAATATTTTATTATTAAAATTATAATACATAGTTTTGATAGTACTATACTTCAATTATATTAAATATTGAACGTTGAACCGCGTGACATCAACAAACTCACATATATATACACATAGTACTCCCTACAAAATCTTATTAATTTCTATAACTTGCAAACAATAAAATCATAAAACCAAACTCATTTCCAAAGATTTAATTTCAAGTTAAGTTTAGTTTCTTTTTGTTGTTGTAATATAAAAACAATGATTTCAACATGGAGGAAGAAAAGAGCATCAAGGAGGAGTAACTCAAAGAAACAAATTGAAGAAAAAACCATGGAGTTGTTGATGGTTCCTAGCCATTTCAAGTGTCCAATTTCATTAGATTTGATGAAGGATCCGGTGACGTTGTCGACGGGGATCACGTATGATCGAGTGAGTATCGAGACATGGATTGAAAATGGAAATCAAACATGTCCTATCACTAAAAAAGTGGTGAAGACACTTGAGCCAATTCCTAATCACACAATGAGGAAAATGATCCAAGAATGGTGTGTTGTGAATAAAGATTATGGGATCGAGAGGATCCCAACTCCAAGAATCCCCGTTACCTCTGATGAGGTAACGGTGATTCTTAGGAAGATTGAGTCTTGCTGCAAATTGCAGCAAGGCTCAGAGTCTAGTCGCGAACTAGTAATGAAAATGAGGAAGATGATAAAAGAAAGTACGAGGAATAAACGTTGTTTTGTTGCAAATGGTGCAGGGAAGATCTTATCATCTACACTTCTTGATTTTACGGAGAAATCATCCGTTTATGAAGTTGAAACAATGGAAGAAATATTATCAACTTTGACAATATTATTGCCTCTAGATGGTGAGTCCAAGTCAATTCTTGGATCAAAATCATCTTTAAATTGCATGATTTGGTTCTTGAAATGTGGAAGTTTATCAAGTAGGAGAAATTCAGTGTTTTTGCTTAAAGAAATCATGAGAATGGAAGAAACATGGAGAGTAGAAGAGTTATTAAAGATTGATGGAAGTTTGGAATCATTAGTGAAGTTAGTAAAAGAGCCAATATGTCCTACAACTACAAAAGCTTCTTTATTAACAATTTACCATATGGTTAATTCATCACAATTATCAAATGAGAAAGCAAGATCCAAATTTGTTGATTTGGGGTTAGTGGAATTGCTTATAGAGACACTTGTGGATTGTGAAAAGAGCATATGTGAAAAAGTATTGGGAATTTTGGCTAGAATTTGCAATTCACAAGAAGGAAGAAAAAGGGCTAATAATTATGCCTTAACTATTCCTGTTTTGATCAAGAAATTATTGAGAGTTTCAGATTTAGCAACTGAATTTTCAGTTTCAATATTATGGAAGTTATTAATTGAGAAAAGGGATAATGTTGTGCTTATTAATGAAGCACTTCAAGTTGGTGCATTTCAAAAGTTATTGTTACTAATACAAGTTGGTTGTAGTGAAAATACCAAGGAGAAGGCAAGTGAGTTGTTGAAATTGTTGAATTTGCATAGAGGTGAGGTAGAATGTATTGATTCTTTGGACTTGAAGAACCTAAAGAGGCCATTTTGAACATTTAGTTTAGTTGATATTATGTGTATACATTCATTTTTCATATGTCAATGTACAAAATTGAACAAGGAATAATAAGTTATGAATATTCTTTTGGATATAACTTTGTATTCTTCTTTTTTACTTATAGAAGTTTATGTTGAACATGAATGAAATTTATGTTGTTGGAAAATGGCTATTGTCCTAGTGACTTTGTATGACATTTCGCTCCCTTGTTTTTAGTGTTGACGTAACAAATTATATTTTGGATCATTGACATAGAAGTTGTTAAGATAATTTTAATTAGGATTTGAAGGGTTGGGATAAGTTTTGACACCGTTAGATTATGGTATGAACAATAGATTATGCCTACCACAATCGCGATCTAAAGGAAAGCTAGTTTGAGTATTGTGCTTAGTGATCGTGGAATAGGAGGCACGATCTTACCATTGCAATGGCAATACCTTGATCATGATCACGATTAACCACTCGTCATATCTTTTAAATTGTATACACATTGATAAATGATAAAGGATACACAAGTACAAAGCGCGAGACTAATAATTACTCATAGTAATAGTACAATATAAAACTTATGGGTGTGAAGTATAATTTACATAAAATTTAACCCGTTTGAGAAATACAACCCGAATTCATTTTTCAATATGCAAATTACAGTGTTTTAGTAACAAGGGGTTTTGAGGTACTCATCAATGGAGAACAGAAAATTTGTAGTGAAGGAACTCCTCAAGGACAAGAAACTCTGGTTCGCTTCATTCCTCATTGTCTGGGCTGCTGCTCTCCAGGTAATTTCAATTTCAAGTATGCTGTTGATTGACTACTGAAATTTCACCTTGTTGGCGAGGGTTCGATTCCCCCACCTTGTAGTCCCCTCTTCCAATTTGTGTAATTTGTTGGGCAGGGGCACATGATGTGGTTGCAGAGGCAAGATTCTTTCAAGGACAAGTTTGGAAACCTAAATGATGAAGGCACAGATCAACAGGAGCTGGCAGATAATCAATGACCTCGGTAACTACTTATAAGATTTGATATAACTTAAATTACCCATTGATAAGCTGCTTTCTGTTTGAGATGAGTGATTTTTTTGCGATTTCCTTTTGAATGAAACATTAATATGTATGAGATTAACTTAAATTACTAGTGATGGTTTAATAAAGTGATGCATTTTAAGATTGTAATCAATAGTGAGTGTTGCGTAGTGATCAATGAAATTGGTTGAGAACCATGAGGTTTCTGTTCAAATCCCAGCCGGAGACAAAAAGAAAAACAATAGGTGATTTCTTTTCACCTATGCAAGCCTTGGTGACAAAGTTAACGGGTACATGTGTGCTAGTGGGAGGTAGTAGGTACCCTGCAGCATAAGTCGAGTTGCACGGAAACTAGCTTGAATGCCACGGTTGAAAAAAGTGATGCGTTTAAGGCACCTCCAATATGCGATAACATTTATCATGAGATCGACATGAAATATGGTGTACTGTTTTATGAAAGCAACATTTGTATCCTTTTAAGGACAAGAAATGCTAATAAGAACTTATTGATACAGTTGATGACTCTCTCAATGGCCTGTCTAAACTGTACATAACTCCAATTTTTCTTTGTAACTATGCTTGATCCTTTCTAGTTGTGTTGTCAAGTGCAAAAGGCTACAGGTTTGCCTGTTGGAGCATAATGCACAAAGTGCAACTGAAGCACGGGTGTATTGAAGTAAAAAAACATTAATTTATGAGATTATGTGGGAGAATATGGAAACCGTATTCTTTCTAAACAGTCTTGTCCTCCGGTTAAGTTGAATCGAGTCAAGTTGGGAAATATTCATGTGTCGAGTGGCCGAGTAATCTATATTTTCCAAGTTGGGAAACCATAAAACCTTATGAGTGAAATTTTATGAAAAAACACATTTGGCTTCCATATATGTGTATACATGCGCGCGCGCTCACACACACACACACACACACACACACACAATCAATCATATTCAACCAAAAGAGATATAAAACAGCTACAATCTAAGTGATACAGGAAGTGTGAAGCTGCAAGAATGTCATTGCTCATACAAAGGAAGAAATTAATAACTTAAAGCAGTGGTAGCAACAACAGTACAGAGTTCTCAATTTTTCATTTCCATTTCACCATAGAAAGGTAATCTTGAATGGTATTGTTTCTTCTACATGCTGATAAAGAAGCCAATCATGCCACTAAACCTAGGGAAAATATACATATAAGATATATATTCAAGCTTTGGATTGTTTATGTATATCTTCTCAAGAGAATATAATTTGCAATAAGGAAAAAGAATCAAGCATAGACGCAAGATTACTCGAACACATTACTGTAAAATTATAGCAATCGACCGTGAAACAAACATGGAATGATCAGTAGCGGGATTAAGTTCTTGCTGTCTGTGCCTTTCTGTAATTGTAAAGTTTTCATTTCCACTGCGAAAATTGATTTGATGGGTTACTACCAAAATCAGTTGCTTATATGATGTCTACATTTCCTTTACAATATCGTAAATAAGGCCAAATATTGTTTGTTTTTATTTATTTTTCTATATATTTGTATTTTTCATTGTGGAGATACCTGATTTATAGACAATTCTATATCATAAAAAAATAAACCAGAGCTCCTCAGAGTACTTGGGGGCTGGGGCAATCCAATGTTTCCAAGTATTGTGGAGTAACTTAGTTTCCTGATTAATTTTCTTTTTAATGTTTTCAAGTAGTCCAAAGATGTTTCTTTTCTAATCTATTCAGATTGCCTTTACTGAATGATTTGGTATTTTGATTATAATAATTAGTCAGCATCTGTCACTGCTCCTTTTATTTCTGCTCGACATTCAAATACCTTTTATCTGAAATATATGTGCATATATATTTTTGACGACCAAAACTTGAGGAAAATTTCATGCTTGGTAGAGTTGAAACAAACTAATGGCTTAGCATGTGTATTTTGTTGTACGACTGATTTGTTATGTTATGTTATGTTCTGTCAATAATGCATCTTTTCTAGATAATAGAAAAACAATCCATGTTTGCTTCTCTTTAAAGGTTGAATCTCTGGAAATAAGGCAATGATTGCATATGAGCTATATACATATAGAGGTAATATACTTGAAATACTGGGAATAGTCATAGATAATGTGGTATTTTTCTCTTGAAGCAGTTTTGAGATTTTGTTCAGTTTGCAGCATGTGGTGATATTTCCTCTTGAATTCATTGCTTAGGTTGATCAGTTGTGGGTGTTCTTGATAAAAAATGTTGTCATTTGAACCTCTTGGTGTCATTAACTAAACTTTTTAACGTTCAAATCGGGTTATCCTTTTTTACTGGTGTACCCTATATAAGCAAATGGTTGCTGACTTGCTGCAAAATCTCAGTTTAGAAGGGTCTGACCTCAACACTTCAGGTTTCTCAACATTAGCATATAGTTCCACAAGATATTATGTCCTTCATAAATCAACATCGTCTCTGTTTTGAACTTGAAATATGATGTAAGCTTCAAGCCTAAGTTCCTCAGAAACAAGCTTTTAGATCATTCATACGTTGATTCTTATCTTTTTTTTTCCTTTACATGGTTGCAGTAGTACTAGAAAAACAGTAGAGAGCAATACTGGAAACGGTACCACAAAGAGAAGCTTCAGTTGCTTACTACTCACAGATGATAGATAAACAGGAGAAACTATTGGCCTCCACTTTTTGGATCCTGAACTCTCATTAGTTACTTCAATGTACGTTTTATCAGACTCTCAATCCTCAGGTCTCTTGTTTATGAACTCACGTTTGGTTCGTCTTATGGTATCAATTACCTCTTCTAAGATGCTATGAAGTAGTCTACTTTTGATATGTAAATGAAGGACTACAATGTTCTGCTAAACCAACATTTGATATTGTAATCTTATGTTTTGGTTTATTTAGAGAAAGAAGAGGGATTCTTCTTTGCTCAAGGTGATTCACTTTGTAATAACTAAGTTCACCCTTTCACAAAATTGACAGAATTGTTATTTAATGATATGTTCATTCTCAGTAATTTTCTGATTTTGAGCTTGGCATAATGATTTCCTTCAAGCAATCTATGTAAAACATTAGTTAGTTATAAAAGAAAAACGTTGCTGAGTTTTTTTTTTGTCCAAGGAATTTACATGGCGTAAGATTTGCATACTCCCCACCCTCTCGAGACCAGAGGAGGACCTGCGTGGTGGGTTGGGGTGCACGTGCACTAATAACTTTGAAAAAAAATATAGTATAAATGCGTATATACCTTGAAGAAAAAAGACTTATAATCTTGTATTTATCAAATGTTTCTGGTGCACCCAAAGGTGTGACCTAGTGGTCAATGAAGTGGTTGAGAATCCTGAAGTTTCAGCGGAGACAAAAATACTAGGTGATTCTTCCTATCTGTCCTAGCCTTGTGGACAGAGTTACCTGATATTTGTTGCAGGTGGATGGTGGTAGCTTGGCAGATATCTCGTGGAATTAGTTGCCGAAAGCTGGCTCGAACATCATGCTCATATATATGTATATATATGTTTATGGTCATTGAAATCTCTGTAAAATTATAGACAACCAATTTGTTTTATTTAGCATAATCAAAAAGTTTGTACGACATATGGACCAATTTTTCAAACCATTAAGGTACAAAATTGATCGTTTTATTTATTTTTATAAACACTAATAATTACTCAAAAAAGCATTTGATGAAAATTTCGTCACTTTGTGTAACCAAGATTCCCCACTTTTTATTAACAAGAAAAAGCAACAAAAATAAAATGTAGAGAGAAAAAGGGGCCAAAATCCCATCAAATCTAATCAAGAAAATCATAACAAATGCTAATCATGAAAATTAGCTGTTATTGCAAAAAATCATTCCCCTTTTTCTTGGGTGAAAATCATCATTTACCAAGATTTGCTTTGCTGGATTTTATATGATCCATTAAGAAAAGAAAATAAAATGAAATGTTTAAAGGACAAAAAATATTAATTAATTTCTAATTTCTTTTTAAAATTCACTACCATAATGAATTGTGCTATTTGCACGGCGAAAAATGAGCATGCTAGACATAATTTTTATTTATTTTGTAGTAAAAAAAAAAGATTACTATGATGATATTATTATTAAGGGATAATAGAAATTTTAGTCCCTCGCTTCTTTAATCTTTGTAATATTTGACTAAATACATTTAACGTTTACTTAATTAAAATGTGTGTTTTAGTCCCTTGATGTAGGAATTATATTATATCTGTCCTATTACTATTTTTAAAACAATATTATCGTCTAATGGAATTTATAACATAAGTTTATCATAACATATGAGTAATTAACCATTGAAACAACTAACAATTATGGTAAATTTGTGAATATTTACTAGTAAAAGGAGCAAAAGTATATATTTGAATTAATTAAAGATTAAAAATGTTTAATTAAATAACACAAGAATCACAATAAATAATCTTATTATTATTATTATATAATTAATAAATAACCTACGATATTTCAAATCTATTTACGTACGATAAAGACATTTGAAGTATGTAATTTTTCTTCAAACGTAATAATTAGCTTTATTGAAATGTTAAATCAGTTTGACTAATAATTACTAACCGGCTAATTACTAATTGTGTGACACAAGTTGTAAATTGTCTTGAAACAGAAAATCCGTGTAACACAAGTTGTTAAGTGCATGCAAAATTAAGTCAAATAATTAAAAAAAAAGTCAATATTGATAACTTATAAAACTATTTTGTCGAGATTTCATTTCATAATAAATAATTTTTTCATGCTTTAGCAGCCTAATAAAACAATAACATATTTGGCTTAATTGATTAAAAATAGTTGATAAGTATTATTATAATAACTAATAATAAAAGCTTGAGATTAATTTATAAATAAATAATTATATGTTTAAATTGAAATAGATTATAAACATGTTGGTATTTCCTGTTTCCTGTTAAATAGTTGAGACATCATGTCTTTGTTTTATGCTTTTTGGTGTTTGCCTTAGGAGACTGAAAATAACTAGAGATCTTAGCAAAAATATAAATGTAAAACTATTTTTGCAAGCAAAAAAAATTAGAATAAATTGTACGACAAAACTATAATACAGAGGGAGTTAAAATTTAAAGTTATTTCCAAATTAACAAAAAAATAGTACTTCCTCTGTCCTTATTTAGTTGTCCATATTTCCTCTTTTAGTTGTCCATTTTGACAAATAAAAAAGGACAATAATTTTTTTCCTATTATACCCTTATTTAAAGTGAAAAGTTATCATAAATAAAATAAATAAACTTATGAACTTTCAAGCATTGATTAGTTATCTTGAGTGAATTTTTTTTGGAAGTAAATTGTATTATAAGGGTAAAATTGTAACTTTACTATGCTAATTATTGTTGCCTTAATCTGTATGTCATTTCTAAAGTGGACAACTAAATAGGGACGGAGGGAGTAAGAGATAAAATATTGGAGTGCTAGTAATCCAGACATATTAAATGTCCATCCCTTTTTTTCTTCTCACTATGTGAGTGCTCTCTGACAGTCTTAGCCTCAAAAACTGCATTTTTTGTCTTTAGATGCCTCAATTAAATGTTCACGTGTAGAAATGTTTGATTAATTGAGTTTATAAAATTTCAAAATATGAAATTATAATATTTAAATCTTATTTTACGTTATAATAATGACCTTGATATATTTTTTCTTGAGTCTAGTGTTTATCGAAAATCAAAGATCTGACGAAACACAAAATTTTGTTAACGGTTATTAAATACATACAAAATATACATATAATCAAATAAATTAGAGTTTTTTTAATTTTATTTTTGCATACTTATTGTTGACATCCAATTTGGACCGACCCATAATCCTTTCGAAAGTGCTATTCGATTAAATACGTATTATATTTTGTGTTTAAATGTTAATCAATTTTATCTAAATAAGTATATATTTATTATAATTTGCCAATATTGTTATAATTAAATTATTTTTATTATTGTTAAATTATTATATTTATCGATAGTTAAACTCGAAATACTTATTTTACTCAAATGTATTAAAATTTAAGTGTGAAAATATTATAATATGTGTAGTATTTTATTAATTGAATAACATTTTCTTAATGTTTCACCAAATCATTTAAATTTCAGCCTATTCTGTTCTAATTCTTTTTTATTCTAGCCTATTCATTTCTAATTATTTTTTACAATTATAGCCATTTATTGATTTCAATTATGGCCTATTCCAATCCAATTCTCAAAACCCATTCTTTTAAAATCTCGTCCGTCCATCGCTTTGATCAAATCGAACAACTAATCCTAGCCGCTCAAGCCATCGTATCCAATGGTCCAAATTCGCTCCACCCAACCTATCTATTCTAAATCCAAAAGGAGTTGTTAGGTCGTTCACAAAACTCGTTTTGAGAAAAAATGGATCGCGACACTTATTGTTTTAGGGTAGTATTTCATACGACATGAAGTCGTTACTTAACTTCACATAATAATATCATTATTTATAAAATTAACCATCATTTCTAGTTAATATAACATATTAGTCACGTGTTTGCAATACATTACATTGGATGTTGTTTTGAAAACTCTATTTTTAAGATAAAATTTCAGTTATTTATTCCAAAGTTCTAAAATATTTCTTTCATTTCTTATAGAAGTTTTGAATTTTTCTTTACCATCTTCAATTTTATATTATGTGAAACAAAATAATAATAAATTAACTATTAAAATTTTTATATTGTGGGTGCCTAAAACTAAACATTTTATTAATTTCACCGTCAAGCTATCTATGTATAAATTACACTAAATATATCATTAATCCATAAAGTATATATGTATTATAAATATAGAATTTAAACCCAATAAATCAATAAATTATCATAAAATTTCAAATCTTAACCCATAATATTCAATATTACAACCATGACTCTTGATATTTATCCCCAAATATTACTTTTCCTTTTTTAAATAATATTTTTTAGTACAAAATCTCCATACAAAAATAATTTTGTTATATATATATATAGAGAGTTTTTCCAAAAGACAAAGACGGCCGCCTCCATAACTCCGAAAGCATTTGCCGAAATTGGCGGGAAAAATCAACAGTTGAAACCTAACAACTACGCCTGACGTGGGCCCCTATTTAAATGATCAGACGGCCATCATTCCTTCACTTTCCCACTGCTTTTTTTATAAAGAAAAAAAATAAAACTCTGTTTTCCACTTCTACTCAAAAAAAACAAAATCACCTTCTTCCTCTTTTTCTTCCACTTCACTAAAACTCCACAAAAAAATGGTTAGTATATCAATTAAATTTCATATTTATATGTTTTAAATTTGATGTTATTCGTAATTGTTTTAGATTTTAAACTGTTATCAGATCTTAAATTTTCAATTTCAATGATACGATTGTTGTTTTTGTGAAGCTAATTGGAGGTAAAATTCGAGTGATGAACGGAGTAGATTGGATTGAGAATTTGCTGAATATAAAGTTTTTCGAATCGTGTGGATATCACAGAGAATTGAGAAGAAATGAGAAGAATATGTTTTGTATTGATTGTAATCTCTGTTTCTGCAAACACTGCGTATCTTCTTCGTCGCATTGCTTCCATGAATGGCTTCAAATCTGCAAATACGTTTATCATGATGTTGTTAGACTTCATGAGATTCAGAAACATCTAAATTGTTCTGAAATTCAGGTATGTTTTTTTTTTTTGAATTCATTGGTTTTTACTTGTTGAGATTCAATTTACGTAAATTTTGATCAATATTTTAGAACATATTTTTTCGTATGAATATAATTTATAGTAATACTTTTCTATGATTTTTGAATGTTGATCTAATTTAATTTTAAAATTTTAGTTAAATTGATTAATTAGTCAATTCATGCATGTTTGTTTTTCTAATGATATCTTAATTTTTGGTTTTTGTGTGTGTTAAAAATGAGTTTGAGTTCTAGGCTCACTAACACTCTAAAAAAAAGCCCAAAATATATTTATAGAATCAAGTTTATAAGGTAATTAGGT